TTTTTTTTTTTTTTTTTTTTTTATCCTTTCTTTAGAGGAAGGGGGTCTTGCTGAGCTCACCCTGAAATATATCACCCTGGACAAAAGGGCTGAAAGGTTAAGGAGCTCTGGGGGGGGTAGCTGGGGGCCGGGCGCCTGCCAGGACCAAAGCTATAAAGGCAAAGAGGGGCCAGGGACTGCATCCGACACGGATGCTGCGGGTCCTGCCTCGCCTCCCGCCAGCCCTGGGAGAAGATGATGATGCTGGGGCTCCAGTCGTGGCCTTGCTCGCTTTTCCTCCTCTTAGCTCTGCTCTCTGCCAGCGTTCAGACTGTGTCCTTACCAGGACAGAGACTACAGGTAGGAGGGACTGGGAGAGACCTGAGGGAGGTTTTAGGAGCGGAGGGGCAATTTGGGGAGGTTGTGTTTGAACCCGGAACAAGTGATGGTCCCAAATTTCGGCTACCGGAGGCTGCTGTCTATTCTCGCTGCTGCCTCCCCTTCGGTCCAACAGCCTCAGCTCTGGGGTGATGGGATCTTTGTAACTCAGCTCATGAGGAGCACCAGGACTACAAGGGAGCAGACAGACAAAAGCTTTACAGTGCTCTCTGGTCTGGGGGGACTCCCCACGTTGCCTGCAGAGGTTTTTAATGGTAAAGACTCTGGTCCTGTCTAACTGCCCTGTGTCAGCAGCCACCAGAAATTGCAGCCATGTCCCTCCTCGTGCTCAGAGCCTGGTTCTGCTGTTTCAGAGGGAAGGCGCATCCTGTTAGGCTGGGATTTTCACTCCTGAGCTCAGTACTACCCCCCAGCAGCCCCTCTTTAAGGCCAAGAGGCCCTCTCAGGATTCCAGCTAAGGGCTTCTTCACTCGGGTAAACCTTTTATCGTCAGCAATTACAGCAATAACACTCTGGGCTTTCAAATCTACCCATCTCCCTGTTACCCAAAGCCTAACCTGAGCACCAACACCTTGCTCCCACGTCACCCTGGGAAAGCTACGGGGGAGCAGTTAGGACGTGAACTAAAATCACGAGGCTGATCCTGCCATGACTCACCACTTTCGCTCCTCGCTGAAGATGCCCGTGTCCGCTTCAGTTAACTCTGCGACCGAGAAGAGCCGCACAGAGGCAGCTTCAGCCCTTGCTCAGCACCCAGGGG